GCTCTGAACATCAACCAAAGCTTACAAAAATTGATTTGAGAGATCTGAATGAGGCTTTTGAAGCCCAGCCCACCAGCACTAGTACTTCCACACAGCTTTTGCCAACTGGTCCAATGCATTTGCTTCCTCTGACCTGCCCACAAAAATCTATTAAACATTTTCTCCAAAGTTAACTGTGTTGACTTTTTCATAACAGAAACCTGGGTGATGTAGGATGGAAGAGCTGTCAATACACTTTTTAGAAGAGTAACTCTACCCTCATTCGAAAGGAATGAATTTGCCCAGCAGTTTAGTTTGTCCTGAATTTTGGTGATACAGTCATCAAATTGAACTTGTCTTGTTTTCCCCTTCACAAGAAAAGTACCTAGGTATTTTAATGTCAAAGAGTTGGTCTTGAAGCCACTAAGTTCAGTAGTCCAATGCTTAATTTGAGGTTTAACTATTTTGCTAAACAGCAAAAGACATTTCTTAGTATGGAAATGCATACCAGAACATTGCTGAAATTTATACATTGCTGAAATGCTGAAATTTATCCAGACATTGAAGGACCATTTTAACAGCTAGTTTGGTTGCTTTGGCAGAGATAATAACATCATCAGCAAATGCTAAATGATTCACAGTAATATTAGATCTATGAATGTACAGTGTATGAGGGGATAAAACCATGAGCTGATTCAACAATTTAGAGAAGTAATTCAAACCTGTTTAATCGTGGAACATTGGAAAAATAAGTGCTTTATATTTTCCTCATGGGAGTTACATAACCCACATCTAGAGGGACCTCTCAAGCCTTTTAACTTTAGTATATCTTCTGTGGGTAGAAAGCCATGGAGTAATCTCCAAGAGAAAAATGACATTGAAGGTGATAGGTATTTATTCCACACACATTTACTCCAGCTGACTCTGTGTTGAGGAAAACACAAGTTATCAATGGCTGCAGATAAAGACTAGGACACCTTCTTTTTCATAATCAGGATATCTTTACTATCTCTATCAATGTTTCTTCTCATAACCTTTTGTAAAGTTGTATTATCCACTATATTATGTATAGCTTGCTGGTTCCACTCCCCATTGAACCATAGATCAGCCACCTGAGTTGTAGGATTTAATTGAGGGTTAGATGAAGTGTTGATTAAGCCCTCACCAGTCCAATTATCCAACCAGATATTAAGCTTGACCTCACCAATTTTCCAGATGAAAAGATTTTCGGCATGAGCTCTGACTTTTAGCATATTGGTCCAGGCCCTGGAATCCCCAAGTCTTTTAGTAACAAGGGAGGGATGCAACTCTCTACAGTATTTGCCCTTCAAACATTTAGCCCAAAGTGAACTCTGGGCTCTGAACATCAACTAAAGCTTAAAAAAATTGATTTGAGAGATCTGAATGAGGCTTCTGAAGCCCAGCCCACCAGCACTAGTATTTCCACACAGCTTTTGCCAACTGGTCCAATGCATTTGCTTCCTCTGACCTGCCCACAAAAATCTATTAAACATTTTCTCCAAAGTTAACTGTGTTGACTTTTTCATAACAGAAACCTGGGTGATGTAGGATGGAAGAGCTGTCAATACACTTTTTAGAAGAGTAACTCTACCCCCATTCGAAAGGAATGAATTTGCCCAGCAGTTTAGTTTGTCCTGAATTTTGGTGATACAGTCATCAAATTGAACTTGTCTTGTTTTCCCATTCACAAGCAAAAGTACCTTGGTATTTTAATGGGAAAGAGCTGGTCTTGAAGCCACTAAGTTCAGTAGTCCAATGCTTAATTTGAGGTTTAACTATTTTGCTAAACACCAAAAGACATTTCTTAGTATGGAAATGCATACCAAAACATTGCTGAAATTTCTCCAGACATTGAAGGACCATTTTAACAGCTGGTTTGGT